GCAGAATCCAGCGAATGGGCATTGTCTTGATTCACCTGGCTACTTCTCTCCAGGCCTCGAAAGGCGTGGTCTGGATCAAGTTCTTGGCGAGGATCCATCTATCCTCCCGTCGCTCCTGCCGCTGATCGGCCAGTGGGCCGCGCAGCCGTCGCCACAAGCTTCCAGCCGTCTCGTGACAGGTCCGCGCGCGCCCTGCCGACTGCCTCCTCGTTTGCGTGGGACTCCACCATACCGACGATGTCGTACTTGTCCGCCTGCGCCCTTACATCCCCAGGCCGAATTTTTCCCTCTTGGACTAAACGTATGAGAACATCAATGGATCCAATTGGATCTTTTTTTTCTCTCGGGTGTGGGAGAGTTTCGTGGATCCTATTTCCGTGCTGCGCGGATCCAATTTCCTGTGTGAAACAACCGATGGATCCATTTATTTCCCGGGAATAAATATATAATAATGATTAACATCCGGGACCCAGGGGAAATGGGATCCGCGGAGCACCACAAGTAAAGCATCATACTATTCACGGAGCTGTGGATGTGCAGACCAATGCTATGATTCTACGGGGGAGGGGGTCTTCCCAGGATGAAGACGGGAAGGATGAGGGAAGAGGCAAGAGGAGGTGGGAGGAGAACAGAGGGGACGCAGGGGGGGAGAGAGGAGGAATAATCAGGGAAGAGACGGGGGGAGGAGGAAGGAAGAGGAGAAGCAGGAGGAGAAGGAGGATGAGGGAGGAGGGAGGAGAGAGGAGGGAGGCGGACGGACGAAGGAGGAATGAGGAGGAGGAGGGATGAGGTGGGAGTATGAGGGGGGAAGTGGGAGGAGTAGGAGGAGGAGAGGAAGGGATGAGGGAGGGCGAGGACACACAAACAAAGTGTCCAAGTCGGAAGCTCGAGCGCCACAGCGGGCCCGGCCAGTTCCCTTCACTTCTCTCATGACAAGTGGTTGCTCGAACGCCGCCGCGGGCCTGGCCATCTCCCGAAAGTCCTCCCATAACGCAAATTTGCTCGAACGCCACAGCGGGCCCGGCCAACTCCCGCACCTCCACCCGTAACATATCTACCCCACCTCGAAGCGAGCGCTACATACATCCGCTCACCTGAACGGCGCGTCGCTTCCGACATGTGGGTCTCAAGAAGAACATCTTTCGGCCTGCGGTAGTGGGATTTCGAACTGCGTCTCCCCCGCCAACACTTCGCACTCTTTCGCAAATTTCTGGGTATGGTGCTTGTGTTCTGTCACCGCCGCCCCTGCGTGGAAGTGCGAGAGGGGTGCTAAATCCTGCGTCCCCAGGCCGAAAGTGTTTTCCTCTTGGACTAAACGTATGAGAACATCAATGGATCCAATTGGATCTTTTTTCTGGTGTGGGAGAGCTTCGTGGATCCTATATCCGTGCTGCGCGGATCCAATTTCTTGTGTGAAAAAAACGATGGATCCATTTATTTCCTGGGAATACATATATAATAATGATTAACATCTGGGACCCAGGGGAAATGGCATCCGCGGAGCACCACAAGTAAAGCATCATGCTATCCACGGAGCTGTGGATGTGCAGACCAATGCTATGATTCTACGGGGGAGGGGGGTCTTCCCAGGATGAAGACGGGAAGGATGAGGGAAGAGGCGAGAGAAGGTGGGAGGAGAACAGAGGGGACGCAGGGGAGGAGAGAGGAATCATAATCAGGGAAGAGACGGGGGGAGGAGGAAGGAAGAGGAAAAGGATGAGGAGAAGGAGGATGAGGGAGGAGGGAGGAGAGAGGAGGGCGGTGGACGGACGAAGGAGGAATGAGGAGGAGGAAGAAAAAGGTGGGAGGAGGAGGGGGAAGTGGGAGGAGGAGGAGGAGGAGAGGAAGGGATGAGGGAGGGCGAGGACACACACACACACAAACAAAGTGTCCAAGTCGGAACCTCGAGCGCCACAGCAAGCCCGGCCAGTTCCCTTCACTTCTCTCATGACATGTGGTTACTCGAGCGCCGCCGCGGGCTTGGCCATCTCCCGAAGGTCCTCCCATAACAGAAGTTTGCTCGAACACCACAGCGGGCCCGGCCAACTCCCGCACCTCCACCCATAACATATCTACCCCACCTCGAAACGAGCGCTACATGCATCCGCTCCCCTGAACGGCGCGTCGCTTCCGACATGTGGGGCTCAAGAAAAACATCTTTCGGCCTGCGGGAGTGGGATTTCGAACTGCGTCTCCCCCGCCAACACTTTGCACTCTTTCGCACATTTCTGGGTATGGTGCTCTTGGACAAAAATATGAGAACACCAATGGATCCAATTGGATCCTTTTTCTTTCCCCGGGTGTGGGAGAGTTTCGTGGGTCCTATTTCCGTGCTGCGCGGATCCGAGATTCTGTGTGTGAAAAAACGAGGGATCCATCTATTTCCCGGGAATATATATAATAATGATAAGTAACAGTCGGGACCCAGGGGAAATGGGATCCGCGGAGCACCACAAGTGAAACATCATGCTATCCACGGAGTTGTGGATGTGCAGACCAATGCTATGATTCTACGAGGGAGGGGGTCTTCCCAGGATGAAGACGGGAAGGATGAGGGAAGACGCAAGAGGAGGTGGGAGGAGAACAGAGGGAAGCAGGGGGGGAGGAGAGACGAATAATCAGGGAAGAGAGGGGGGAGGAGGAAGGAAGAGGAAACGGAGGAGGAGAAGGAGGATGAGGGAGGAGGGAGGAGAGAGGAGGGAGGCGGACGGACGAAGGAGGAAGGAGGAGGAGGGAGGAGGTGGGAAGAAGAGGGGGGAAGTGGGAGGAGGAGGAGGAGAGGAAGGGATGAGGGAGGGCGAGGACACACAAACAAAGTGTTCAAGTCGGAAGCTCGCGCGCCACAGCGGGCCCGGCCAGTTCCTTTCACTTCTCTCATAACATGTGGTTGCTCGAGCGCCGCCGCGGGCTTGGCCATCTCCCGAAGGTCCTCCCATAACATAAGTTTGCTCGAACGTCACAGCGGGCCCGGCCAACTCCCGCACCTCCACCCGTAACATATCTACCCCACCTCGAAGCGAGCGCTACATTCATCCGCTCACCTGAACGGCGCGTCGCTTCCGACATGTGGGGCTCAAGAAGAAAATTGTTCGGCCTGCGGCAGTATGAATCCCCGGGGGCCTGCGGGCCCTACTCGGTGATGTTTTCGAAAAGCAGCTTTGCGTCTTTGGTTTGTTGTCTTGCGGCCTTATGGTTGCTGGCTGCCTCCTGTCTCAGGGCATCTGCAGCCTGGGCCCACGTGCTGGTGTGGGGGTCTGTCCCGTCAGGAAGACTCCTGAGGAGCGCCAGGTTGGGTGAGGAAGGAGGAGGAGGATGTGGAGGAGGTGGAGGAGGAGGAGGAGGACAAGGAGGAAGAGGACAAGGAGGAGGAGGAGGAGGAGGAGGAGGAATAGGATAGGAATAGGAGAAGGAATAACACGAGGGAGGATAAACTGGGAAAAGGAGGAGGAGGAAAACGAGTATGATGTAAAAGTCCGGCCCTCCGGTGGGCGCGCGGTGGCTGGGGATGTGCCGCTGTGGTGTCCCGCGCTACCCCGATGGTGTCCCGCGGCGTCCCGCCGTGGTGCCCGCTGGTGTCTCGTGGCCCTTGGTGTCCCGCGGTGTCCCGTGGTGTCCAATTGGGCGCAATATCGTGGTTACGCGTCGTCGCCAACTCGAGGGCGCGCCACCAGCATCGTCATCATCATCATCATCATCACACCAATCGCATTTGCCAGCAGTTGTCTGTTTTCCCTCCCCCCAACCTCCTTACCACCCGAAGGGTGGTCGTATAGGTATAGAAAAGGAGCTCTAGCCACGGGGTTCAGAGTTTTTCCGATCGTTCGAGGACGAGGGCAAGGATAAGGATGGATGGATGGATGGATGGATGGATGGATGGATGATTATGATGATGATGATGATGCTGATGATGATGATGATGATGATGATGATGATGCTGCTGATGATGATGATGATGATGATGATGATGATGATGATGATGGTGGTGGTGGTGGTGGTGGTGATGATGAAGGTGATGGTGATGATGATGATGGTGGTGGTGGTGGTGATGCTGATGATGCTGCTGCTGATGATGATGATGATGATGATGATGACGACAACGATGATGATGATGATGATGATGAGGAGGAGGAGGAGGAGGAGGAGGAGGAGGAGGCAGAGGAGGAGGAGGCGAAGCAGTACGATGTAGTTGTTCCTCCACTCTTCGCTCGCTCTCTCACAGTGGTATCCCCCATTGCCCGTTTTCCCTTCCTCATCTCCCCGTCCCCGTCCTCCCTCCCTGCTCCCCCGTTCCTCCCTCCTGCCCCTCATGCCTCCCCGTCATCATGCTGCTGCGTGGCCATGTTGCCTCACGTATCGGTGGGCCCAAATGTTCGAATCCGTCCCTCGAGCTCCCCCAGCACGCACATGTCGCTTGTCATGTCCGAGGACTGAGTTGCTCGGCACCTCGCCCATCAGAAGGTCCGGTGGGTTCAAGGTGATGAGCGCAGTGGGTGCCGCAAGATACCGGCCTTCCTTCAACGTCCTCGACGCCCTGGTTGGGGCAGAGTTCGGCGGCCATCTGGCCAGCTTCTTTGATCGAATCTGAGCTCGTGCTTGCTGCATGCGTCTGGGGTGGAGCACCCCTGGCCTCGTCATCAATCGGGATGCCTTCTTTCAACCAAACCAGGCATTCCCACGGGGTAGTAAGGCACAGTCGCAATGAAGAGAGGAAAGAGGAGAAGGAGAAGCATAATCCATAACATCTTGATCAGCCACGGGACACGGGGGACGGGAGGCTGAGGAGGATGGGAATGACGTACGTAGACGACGCGCATGGTGGTACGGTGTTGTGTACGAAAGGAGAAGGACAGTTTCGGCCAGCGACTTTCCGTTTCCATTCAAGGTTGCGGAACAGTCGGGAATGAGAAGGAAGAGGTCGAAGAGATGGAGGAGGAGGTGGAGGAGCAGGAGGAAAATTAATATCTGAGAGATTTCATTCATCTTGTCTGCGCGCATCTAAGGCGGTGGGATCTTCGGGAACATCAAGAACATGGTGAGTCAGCCCTCCAAGCTGTTAAAGAGGGTGGGCAAGGCTGGGTGCGGCGGGGGGGGGTGCGTTTGCCACCCGTGCCGCCGCCTGTAAACCAGCCGAACCCCGTATTTGGATCCCTCGTGGGCTCTCCTCCTCAGCTCACATTTCGTCCAGTTGTATAACTATGATGCGTAGTTTGCATCATCCCAGCCACAAGAAGCATGGCCCGGATAGAGTCCTTCAGCGCTTGTTCCTGTGATTGACCTCTTTCAGACAAACGTGGACTATGTGCTCATGATTGCGCGGACGGCGAAGGCGAAACACATAATTCTGTACCGTCAGAGCTTCTGCATCCCCAAATCACTGCTAGATGCTTGGTCTAGGACCGTGCGATCCCATGTTCCATGATCTCTCATGGCATCCAGGTGGGATGATATAGTTTGATGGTCTAGTTTTCAGAGCTGCCGCCAGAGCCAGACTTGCCATCTTTGACTCGTGTGCTCCAGGGTGGAAGATTGCAGATGTATATCGTGGTGCTGGCATCCTGGTACGGCTACCAGTCCGCCGCCTAACGCGTACGGGGGATGGTGATTGCATCCATCACGCCGTTGGAACATAATGCCTTCTGGAATTGTGTTGGAAACACAGAGGGTGTGGGGGACGGGGCTGGGGAGGGGAGGGGGACAACGATGAGGGAAGGACAAGGGCGGCGCTACATGGGAAACTCATGCGCCAGACATACTCCAGCCAGCATGTCCACTGACCTTCCACCGTCAGGTGTCAAATGTCACTGCCAACTTTTCTTTCTCCTGGAGACTGTAACTCCCTGCGTCCCCCAGCCGTGGCTGGCACGCGCAAGACTATCTTTCATCCGTTGTGATGGGTTTTGGGTAGGTTGTGTCCTGGGGGAGGGGCCAGGGCAACATTGTTGGAAGGTGCGCAGTATGACAAGGAGACCGAGCACGGCTAGGAGGCGAAAGCAGAGAGGATTAGGGGAACAACGACGATGGTGTTGATGATGATGATGATGATGATGATGATGATGATGATGATGGGATGGTGATGATGTTAATGATGATGGATGATGGTGATGATCGCGATCATGCTTATGCTACTGGTGATGCTGCTGCTTCTGATGATGATGCCGATAATGATGATGATGATGATGATGATGATGATGATGATGATGATGATGATGATGATGATGATTATGGCGACGATGCTGATGATGATGGCGATGCTGATGATGCTGGTGATGATGATGCTGGCGCTGCTGATTATGATGGTGGTGATGATGGTGGTGATAATGGTGATGAGGAGGAGAAGGATGCTGATGCTGATGCTGATGCTGCTGATGATGATGATGATGATGATGATGATGATGATGATGATCATGTCGTTGATGTTGACGATGAGGACGTTTATGTTGGTGATGGTAATCAGGGCAATACGAATATGTTGCTGCTGCTGATGGTTGCAGTGGTGATTGTACTTGACGATGCCAATGACGCTGCCGACCAGGATGACAACGCCGACGAGGATAAGGATGATTATGATGATACGGCGATGGTACCCACGATGACGACGACGGTGATGATGATGACAATGATGTTGATGATGCTGATGATAATGTAATTGATGATATTGATGATCATGATTGCAGTGAGGATGATGCTGACGATGATAGTGAAGCGACTCTGTATGACGATGACGATGATGATTCTGGTTGATTATGCCGATTATGATGGTGATAATGATGCTTTTGAAGATGTTGGTGACGCTGGTGATTGTGATGATGCATATGCTGCTGGTGGTGATAATGGCTGTACTGCTGATAATGCCTATACTGTTGCTGATGATGTTAGTGGTGGTGGCAGTGACGATGCTATGTTGTGATGATGATGCTTAAGTTTCAGATGTTGATGGTGGTGGTGATGATGATGACGACGATGCTGCTGCTCATGACCATACTGTTGTTGCTGATGACGAGCATGATGATGCCGATATTGATGATGAAGACGATGACGACGGCGGCAACGATGATGCTGGTATTGATAATGATGTTGGTGCTGATGTTCAGGCTGCTGATAATGGCGATGCTGACGATGGTGAGTATGATGCTGATGCTGATGCTGATGCTGCTGATGAAGATGGTGATGGTGATGATGATGATGCTGATGATGATGATTATGCTGTCGATGAACATGTTGCTTCTGATTCGGATGCTGATGCTGATGCTGATGATGACGATGCTGATACTCATACCGATTTCGATGATGCTGCTGGTGATGATGCTGATGCTGATAATGATGACGATGATGGTTATGATGATTATGATGCTGATGATAATGCTGATGCTGCTGCTTATGATGATGATGATGATGATGATGATGATGATGATGATGATGATGATGATGATGATGCTGATGTTGATGATGCTGATGCTGATGACGATGGTGATGATGGTGACGATGCTGATGACGATAGTAATTTGAAACTGCTGATCATGATGATTCTGATTATGTGGATGATGCTGATCATGTTGATGGTGATGATGATGCTGATGATGCTGATGATGCTGATGATGCTGATGCTGATGATGACGAGGAGAAGAAGGAGGATCAGCAGGAGGAGGAGCAGGAGGATGGTGATGATGATGAGGAGGAGGAGGAGGAGGACGAGGAGGAGGAGAAGGAGGAAGAGGATGATGATGATGATGATGATGATGATGAGGAGGAGGAGGAGGAGGAGTTGGAGGAGGAAGAGGTAAGGAGGAGTAGGACGAGGAGGAGGTGGTGCGAGGAATACGTTTGTAGAGTAACTTGGAGGGATGGATGAACAGCTGTGAGGAGAGGAGGAGCGGGGATGAGGGGTCGGACGGAGGATGGGGGATAAGGATGTGAGAGTCTAATAGCGTGATTGGCAGAGGCTAACATCGTGATTGGGGAAGGCGTGTCAGAGAGAGTCAGACACAGCCTTACCAGCTCGAACGAGGCAGCGGCCTCCGCCGACTGCCACCCTCCCTCTCATAGCTTAAGACACATGCTAGCACAACGGGATACTGGGACTGGCGCGGGACCCCACCTCGCGAACGGATTTCGCTCGCGCGCGCGGCTCAGGGGACGTGACGACAGGAAAGCATGGGCTGCGCACAGGCGGGAGCGGAACTCCCAGAAGCGCCTTGCGCCGCGCACCAGCGGGCGCGTCCGCGCGAACAACAATATGCGCCACGCCTGAGCGAGGGCGCCAGTTCCAATCGAAAGCTGCGCGGCTCGTGGGCGAGAGCAGAACCATTCCCGCTCCCTCGCGACCCCGCCGCCGACCGGTTGTTGAGCGAAAAATCGGCGCCGCGCCCAAGCGGGAACGCAACTTTCGGGAACCTTGTGCATCGCTGAGGCGATGTGCGCCGCGCCACACTCCCGCCACACAGTTCGCAACGTCGACGAGAAGTCGCACACGTTGCAAGGAAGCACGGCGACGTTCTAACGCTTCGGACGAACGGGGCCTGGACAGGGTCCACATTGGCTGGCCAGGCGGCACAGTTGGAGTATGGCATATACATACACGTGCACCAGGTCTCGAGGTACTTGTGTGTTGGCGATTTCGTGAACCGTGCTCGTTTTATTTCCTTATGGTGGCAACTATGGTGATGAGGGCGACGCTGCTGCTGCTGCTGCTTCTGATAGCAGGGCAGTAGCAGGGCAGGACCATGAGAAATACTTATCTGTTGGTCGGCCACAGTTTGGAAGTGTTCTGCGCTCTCTTCTACAATGTTTGGCAGAGGATGCAGCGAAACGGCTCCAATCTCGAGACGCTCTCACAGTGCCCCCCGCACAGGGAGTCCTATATACTCAAGCAGTGGCGAAGCGTCCTGGCGTGCCAATAGGCCCACCAAACACTGTTCTAAGAACATCTAGTGGCTTCTACGACATGTGATTAGAACATGTCTGGCCGACATTATCTTGTTCGAATTTCTGTTCTAAGAAAAAATATTTCTTGTTCTTAGAACATTCTCGGGCTCTAGGAACATGTCGTGGTAGGCCTATAGGAATGCCGTGACGGTTTGTCCCTGCTCAATTCACGGCCCTAGTGAGCGTGCCCGTAAAGTTTCGTCCCGCTCATTTCGGGACACCCGTTGCGCGCACAGGGGGCTCCGACTACGGCCCCAGCGTGCGCATCCGCATAGTGGCACCCCGCCGAGTTCGGCACGCCCCTCACACGGATCGTACCCAAGAGGAAGCTCCAACAATGGCAGGCCCCAGTGGGCCTGGCCGAGTCGTGCCGCCCCGTTCATCTCGGCACACACCTCATACGGATCGTGTTCCATGTGGCGCTTCAGCCACGGTCCCAGTGGTCGACGCCCGCTCATTTCGGCACACCCCTCACGGACCGAGGCCCGCAGGGAGCTCCGGCCACGGCCCGTGTTGGCCCGTCCGCTTAGTGTCGCCGCTCTCGATCCCCCTCTCGGATCCGCGCGGTCCACACTGATATGTTAAGGGAGACACCGCCTACTCTGCACGTAGTTGTAGAGTGTAGAGGGCGGAGCCCTTCGATAGGCTAATACTTGCCTATGGTGGGTCTCTAGCGTGAATTTGGGTGACCACTTTGAGGTCTTGGGGGCCGTCTTGGTCTTTTCTTGGGGCCATTTCGGGCAGTCGTGGGGCCAATTCAGTGCTACCCAGGGACATTTTGGGGGGTGCCGGGGATGAGCTTGGGTTGTTCTTATCCTCTTTATCTTGCTTGGTCCTGTGCGACAAGGCCCCCATGTCTTGAAACACTTGTGCTTTCAACTTCTCTCTGGAGCCTCATGAGGAGACCTCTTCGTCAATATTTGGCCTGATTGCGACTCTTCTGGGTTGCCTTGACACCATGCTTGGCACTTCCAGAACCTTTGTTGTGGGGGGCAATCTTGAGGCCTCTTGGGGCCGTCTGGAGTTGTGCTTCATCCTTGAGAGGGCAATGATATGGCATGCCACTCATAGGGGAGGGTCCTTGTTCGACGCCGCTGCGAGCCCTGGACGATACCCTCTCTATTTTGCATGGAGTCCTCGCCTGGGGTAGCTGTGAGCGCGAAATAATTGATAACAGACACCTAAAGGCCTGCCTGCATGACGACCGGAAGCGCGCACCTTGCGACCCGCTATGCCGCAGGCGATTTCTCGCCCTCACCCCCCGGGCTTTTCCACTAAAAATCAAGCCCGTCAGACAAGGAGGGCACCTTGGGGATATACCCCCAGGGTGCTATTCGGACGCACCCCTATCGAGGATGGGCGCCCCTCTATCGTATATCTCCGGGTTGGGCCCCCAAATGTCTGGCCACATTCAAAATTTCACGAAGTCGGGGGCTGGGGCAGGCACAGCCCCTCTTATTGTTTGAGCGACGCGATTCGTTTGGGGACTGAGGGGGGGGTCGCCGGCCGTGGCCCAGGGTCTTGCCCTTGCTGGGTCGGCCAAAGTCCGCGAGGCCTCCATGGGCGTCAAGCGACGAGCCCCCAGGACTCGAGGGCCTTCTAACATGGATCAAGGCGTGTGGATTCGCGACGGATCCCGTTTCCATGCAAAATCGGCGCGCGCTGTCGCCACATGAGGCGGCATTGGCTTCATGTGTCGGGGGGACCTTCCCCGATCCATGGACGTGGCGCCCACGCACCATATCCACGGATACTTCATCCATTTCAGTGTACGCCCGAAAGACGGTACGAGAGCGGCCACTGATGTGCTGAGATGGCCCCCAGAGGTTCCAGCATGGATTTGCGCAGGATCCCCACGACGCGAAAGCCATTAACATTTCTTTGGATTCCTTGCGCTCTCCGCCTTGCAGCTCTGCATGGCTTCGAGAAGGGCCCGCCCAGTGGCTTCAAGAGGTCCCAAGAGGTTCACAAGAGCATCCAAGAGGTCGGCCCAGACGCAAAGTGTGACCTCCTGGACCAACAGAGGGCCCATCTCCAGGCCGAGGCCACCTTGCACTGTCTTGGGCCGCATTGGACCATTTTGGGTCATGTTGGAGCCTTCGTTGGAGGCCTCTCAAGGGCACATGGGGCGGGCCATCTTGCAGCCTCCCTGGCCACTTTTGCAGGTGCGTGTGGAGCTCTCGCGGGTCGTGTTGAGGTGCCCCTGGAGACGTCCTCGTACCTTCTTGAAGGCCGTTGCCCCGAGCTGGCTCCTCATTTCTCTGGCGGACCTGGAGGCCCAGCCCTTCCAAAAAATCCCGGCGAGGCTCCAAGGGGCAACGTTATGGCCCCAAGAGGCCCCAAGACGGCCCCACGACAGCCACAAGAGGGTACCAGGCCAGACAAATCCAGCGGCTTCTCACACGCACTTCGCTAGTTGTGTCGCCGATGCCTGCTATGCGAACTTCGGATCACTGAAGTTTTGTGTAGCATTAGTTCGGGACGCACTTTGGTTCACCAGCCTCGTTTATAGGCAGTCAGAGAAGTTAGCCTCCGTCGTTGGTGTCGAGTGCCATATGCTCGCTTTGCAGCCGCCTCCCCATTCTCCCTTCCCCCGTCTCCCTCATCGAATGTCGAGGTATTTCGTTGGAGGTCGCGGCAAATCTGGCAAGACAGCCAAGGAGAAGGCTGCAGTGCAAGGCCACGAGGAGGCCAGCTGTGATTGAAGGAATGGAAGATGATGAGGAGGGGGTCATCGAAGAGAGGAGGCGGGGTGCCGAAGCAGAACAGCAGGCTAATGTACAAACGAGTGTCTGTTTCATGTCGTTCTGTGTGACTCGCAGCGGCAGAGGGCCATGGGAGAGAAGGGGGAAACGGGGTAGACATGTTTTTAGTCCTGGATAGTGGCTATCTTTCGGGTGTCTTTGGAAACAGCTCGCATGGTGAGGATGAGGCGGAGGATTATGATGATGAGCATGTTGATGTTGTTGATGATGATGCTGTTGATGTTGATGTCGAGGACGATGATGGTGATGATGGTGATGATGGTGATGATGGTGATGATGTTGATGATGATGGTGGTTGTTATGATGATGACGAGGATGCTGCTGATGATGATGATGATGATGATGATGATGGCGATGATGCTGATGCTGATGAGGAGGATTATGAGGCCAGACGCGACGCGATATGAGAAGGGCGAGGAAGGGGAGATGATGATGATGCTGACGATGATGTTGGTGACGATGCTGATGCTGATGATGGTGATACTGACGGTGATGGTTGTGGTGGTGTCGGTGATGATGGATATGATGCATATGATGAGGGTGTTGATGATGATGACGATGATGCTAATGATGATGCTGTCCATTATCCTGATCATGATGATGGCGACGACTACGATGACGCTGACGATGCCGATGACGATGATGCAGCTGGTGCTGCTGCTGATGATGATGGTGATGATGCTGCTGATGACGATGATGATGATGCTGATGATGATGATGATGCTGATGCTGATGCTGTCGATCATGATGATGATGATGGTGGTGGTCATGATTATGCTACTGGTGATGATGATGGTGGTGGTGATGACGATGAATGTGGTGGTGAGGATGCTGATGATGACGATGTTGATGCTGATGGTGTTGTTGTTGCTGATGCTGATGCTGATGCTGATGCGGCTGACGATGATTCTGACGCTGATGATGCTGTTGATCACATGATGCTGTTGGTGGTGATAAGAAGGATGCTGATGCTGACGATGATGCCGATGGTGATGAAGCTGATGATGTTGATGATGTTGATGATGAGGACGATGCTGATGCTAATTATGATGGTAGTGATGATGACGATGCTGTTGATGATGATGACGCTGTTGATGGCGATGATGATGCTGATGATGCTGATGATGATGCTGATGATAATGATGCTGCAGATGCTGATATCTCTGCTGCTGCTGTGATGATGGTGGTGATGATGATGCTGTTGACCTTGATGGTGATCATGATGATGCTGATAAGGATGATGCTGGTGACAATGATGGTGTTGACGATGCTGATGCTGCTGATGATGATGATGATGTCGATGCTGATGATGCTGAATATGTCGATGATGATGATGATGATGATGATGATGATGATGATGATGATGCCGATGATGATGACGTTGATGACGAGATCGTGATGATGATGATTATGATGATGATGATGATGATGATGAGGATGCTGATGTTGTTGTTGATGATGACGATGACGATGCTGATGATAACGATGACGATGACGACGATGAGGAGAATGAGGAGGAGGATGAGGAGGTTTGGCGGGGTCCCTGCATGCGCGCTCATCCTGATCCTTGCGCCAACATGTTTCTCGGGATCTTCGGGGGGCCACTCATCATCTGATATGGGATTGTCCAGCACGTATTCCTTCCGACGCGATTTCGGACTCACGGAACACATGACGCGGGTTAAGTCAAACCACCCCCACGATTTCGTTTGGTGCGCAGCCTTTGATCCAGACCCAGAGCTCCCGAACGTCTCCTTCCCCATTTCCATTTATTTGGAGCTGGAGTGGGCGAAAGTGGTGGTGCAGGGCCACGTATTTGTGTGACCATTTTGGTGTCCGTCAACAGAATGGGACATTATATTTAATCGTTTCGCTCACTCCGCCAGCCCAAATTGCCTCGCCGCTGTCGTTTGTCGGGGTGTTGTTGTCAGTGCGGTGCGGTTGGGCGGCTGCCATTTTTCGGAGGCGGTGGGTGGCGGGTCAGAGGCCTCATGGATGTTGGTTGGGCTCTCGTGGTTGGCCCTTCAGGGTTTTTGGGGGAACCAGTTTTGAGGCCTCTTGGGGGCCGTGTTGGGGCCTCTTGGGGGCCTCTTGGGGTTTCTTGGGGTGCCTCTTGGGGCCTCTTGGGGCCTCTTGCGGGCCTCTTGAGGTCTCCTGGGGGCCTCGTGGGACTGAATGCTGGACTTTTCGGTTCGTGGTCACCTTTTCAGGCCCCTCTTGGGGCCGTTTTGGGGTTCTCTTGGGCGTCTTGGGCGCTTATTGGGCTGTCTTGGGCCCATCTTGGGCCGTCTTGGGGCTGTCTTGGGGTCCTCTTTGACGCTTTTGGGGCGATCTTGGGAGCCTCTTAGGCCATCTTGGCGCGTCCTCCCGCGCCCCATCTGACCGGCTCGGCGGGGCGCGCTCGGGAAGCCAACAGAGGAGAAACCCGACAATGTGTCCAAAACCCGAGGACAATCAATGAATGTTGCCTCTTGGGGCCCTCTTGGGAGTGCTTTTGGAGGCCTTTGGGGGCGTCTGGAGGCCATGGTGGGCGTCTTGGAGCGATTTTGTGGCATCGTCGGCCGATTTTTCGAGGACCCCAAGGGCTCTTGGACCGTCTGGGCGCTCTCTTGAGGCCGTCTTGGGCGCCTCTTGGGCCGACTAGGGGGCTTCGGCATCTCTGACGGGCACTTGCCGGGACTTTGGCGGGGTATTTGTCGCGTCGGGGCCCCCAGGGGCCGCCTCGCGCGCGCGCAAGTTTGTTATATTGTTGACTTGTTACCAGAGATTTTAGCACGCCTCTGGCCCGTTGGGCCGGCGAATTATTATTTTCTGTGGTGTATATCCCAGCGTCGTCCAAGACAATATGTCCCTGGTGCCGAAGCGTTTGCCTTCTGGGTTTAATTTAGGCACAACTCACCATGGGATGATCACTGATGTCTAGCCTTCCAGAATCGATATCGTGCTCCGACATGGCCCTGCATGCTGACCTACGGCGGGTAATCCCTGAAAAGGCAGAGGACATACCGAGTCCACGTTCATAAGGTAAAAAAGCTCACCTCCCAGAAGAAGTTGAGCAGCAACCCGTGTGGTGTACACGGGCGAATGCATTGTCAATTATTTAACCCTGACGCGCACTGAGCGCAATACCAATAGTGTTGCATGCATTGCTAAGATCATCGCATATGTCGTGTCTAACGCTTTGAAGTTGTTTGAACAGTGTCCCAACCCAACCCCCTGTCCCTTGGCCCCTCCTGTTCCTGGGTTACTGGTTGGGGCTCCTCCCGTGGGGACCGGCCATCAAGTGGTCTGGACACGTGAATTTCGAGGTATCGTTGCGTAGCCTGCTTGGCCTCCAGTCCAGGCAAGCATGCCATTTCCAGTGCCGATTGTGCAGCCCCAGAGGAGTACGGCCACGTGATCAGAGCAGGTGGCCTTTCTGTGTTCCGCCGTTTCTGAGGTTTTTCCAGTGCTACTAATGTACAGAAGTTGCAGAAGCCGTGCCGTGGAAAAACCAGGGCCGATATCACCAAGTGTAGGTTCGGGAAATTAATGAGTGGACGGGATCCCCATAGAGATGCGTACTTGGGCAATGTAACTGTTCCTTATCTTCCGGTCTTTGATGACCTGAGCGAGTGCGGGCCTCCCTCAGATGTGGACCCCCGGTGCTTGAATCTGCCTGTGCTAAGTAATGTATTATAGGGTTCAGTAGCGTAACGGTCTGCACAACGTTGCTGTCGATACGATGACATCGGGCTGGTGTGTGGCAGGAGGTTGTGGAGAATCTTGTGCCGATCTCGCTCCAACACGTCGGGTGGAATACCCAGATTTCGTGCATTTGTTACCAGGCCCTGCCGCACCAACTCCGTGACATTTTACAGTCGTCGCGGTTGGTTTTGTTTTCGGTGCGCCTGGGCAGTTGCCCAGGCTTGGCCACCGCGCCCGCGCCTGCCTTACCTTTCTCGTGTCGTCGTTGTCGTCGTCGTCGTTGTCGCCGTCGTGGTCGTCGTGGTCGTCGTTGTCGTCGTCGTTTTCGTCGCCTTCTTTCGGGGATCTGGCCCGCTCGTGCCTCGCCACTAGTCAGACTCAGAGTCCTTCCTCCTCCACCCCCCCTCCTCCCCCTCGTCTGCCCTCTCCTCCCTCCTTGGGGTTGGTGGAGGGGGAGGAGAAGACGTCCCAAGCGAGCACTTTGGCGGCAGCAGGCTCTCGACGACGACAGCCTCCCCCGCCTCCCTCTCCTCCCCCCCCCCTCCCCTCCTGCTTCTCCTCCTCCTCCTTCCCCTCCTCTTTCTCCTCCTCCCATCTCGCTCCCTCCCTCCCTGTCTCTCTCTCTCTCTCTCTCTCTCTCTCTCCCCCCCTCCCTCTCCCCCGGGCCCCTCCTGATCCCACCTCTGCGCGTGCCGACCCTGGCCTGCGGGCCCGGCCAGGCGGAGGAGGACGAGGAGCCGGTGCTGCAGGCCCGCGGCCCGCGGCGCGGCGGCGAGGCTCTCGGCCGTCTCTTCGCACCGTCGCGCGGCGCGGCCACTCCGAGAGGGCGCGGGCGCTGAAGGCTCAGCCAGGCGCAGCAGTGTCTTCCTCCCTCCTCCTCCTCCTCCTCCTCCATCCTCCCCCTCCTCCTCCTCCTCCTCCTCCTCCTCCTCCTCCTCCATCCTTGGTCCTTCATCTTCGATTCCCCTCCTCCTCGATCCTCCTCCTCGATCCTCCTCCTCTTCCTCCCGATCCTTCTCGATCCTCCTCCCCTATCCTTTTCCTCCTCCTCCTCCTCCTTGATCCTCGATCCTCGATCCTCGATCCTCGATCCTCCTCCTCGATGCTCCTACTCGATGCTCCTCCTCCTCCTCTTTCTCCTCCTTTCCTTTCTCCTCCTTATTGGTCCTCGAGGTTCGAGGATACCTTTTTTTGGGGGGGGGCTCCAGGACCTCCAGGGGCTTCCAGAGACCCTTAAAGACCGCTGGGGGATCATGTCTGAACACCCCGCAGGGTTTCTAGGAATCCCTCTCGCAACCAGGGCTGGAGGGGTTTCGGAAGACGGCAGCCCTCGTACCTTATCCCCGAGTTGCGGGCCTACTTGGGGCCTTGCTAGAAGGTCGAAGACAGCAGATGTAGGATATTGTTCAATGTCGAACGTTTCACGCGTTAACAGAAGCCAGAGCCGCTGCCGTCATGCCAGCGATGGGGCGCCTGAAAGCATCCCCGTTGTTTGTCAGGCTCTCGAATGGCTTCGGGCGGCTTTGGATTACAGGTCGATCTGGACTCCAAGTCCAAGGATCTTCGTTGGACTTTTCGGGAGGCATCGAGAGGGTCTGGTGAGAGGTTTGAGTGTTCCTCTGGGGGGTTTGGAAGGCTTCGGCGAGTATCGAGCAGCTTGGTCCTAGGTCAGCTCGGGGAGGGACAAGGGGCATACGACATGTCTGGAGGGGGGGGGATAGGAAGGAGGAGGAGGAGGAGGAGGAGGAGGAGGAGGAGGAGGAGGAGGAAAAGGGACGAGAAGGACGAGGAAGAGACGCAACACTGAAGGGGTCTGACGGGCCAAGGCATCAGAACGTGCCTAGGGTAGAGGGCATGGCAGAGCCGCTGCGGCACCGCGGGCGAGGCCCACACCCCGCCGGACGCGGCCGCGGTCGCCATGGAGCGCGGTTTCGTGGAGGTGCGACTGAGGGGGGGGGTCAACAGGTGCAAAGGCGGGCTCCTTCCGTGGATATCCAATCACTGCATCACGAGCATGAGCTTTCGGAGGCCCACGCGCATTTCTTTGCGTCGTCGCGGGGCCCCCACTCCGCGTCCCCCACACGGTGCCTCTGGCGCCCCCCATCCAGGGCGCTCCGCGAACCTGGGGAGGGGTGTGTGGAGGAAGGGGGCACAACGCGGACCAACGAGATCTGCGCGGACGTTTATATTTACAGTTTTTCTCCTAAACAGTGCCTACGCTTAAGGGATCTTGCTTGTCTCCCTAGGGAATTGAGTGGGTCTGGCGGGGGTTTTCCACGTTGCCACCCGTTGCCGCCTCGTTGTCGCCTCGTGCGCTCGGTGGGTTCGGCGAGGTTTCGCCACGTAGCGTAGCCGCCGTGTTGCCGCCTAGTGCTCTGGGTGGGTCTGGCGAGGTTTTGCCACGTTGCCGCCGTTGCCCCCTCGTTGCCGCCTCGTGCGATGGGTGGATCCGGCGTGGTTTCGCCACGTTGTCGTCCGTTACCGTCTGGTCTGGCAAGGCTTCGCCACGTTGCCGCCTCGTTGCCGCCCGGTGCGCTGGGTGGGTCCGCGAGGTTTCGCCATGTTGCCGTTCGTTGCCGCCTCGTTGCCGCCTCGTGCGCTCGGTGGGTCCGGCGAGGTTTCACCACGTTGCCGCGTGTTGCCGCTTCTTTGCCGCCTCGTTGCCGCTTCATGCGTTGGGCGAGGTTTCGCCACGTTGTCGCCCGGTGCCGCCTCGCTGCCGCCCCGTGCGCTGGGTGGGTCCGGCAGGGTTTCGCCACGTTGCCGCCCGCTGCCACTTCGTTGCCGCCTCGCTGCTGCCACGTGTTCTGGGTGGGTCCAGTCTGGTGAGGTTTCGCCACGTTGCCGCCTCGCTGCCGCCTCGCTGCCGCCTCGCTGCCGCCTCGTGCGCCAGATGGTTCTTGCGAGGTTTCGCCAAGTTGCCGCCTCGTTGCCGCCTCGTTGCCGCCACGTGTGCTGGATGGGTCGGGCGAGGTTTCGCCACGTTGCCGTCAGTTGCCGCCTAGTTGCCGCCGTTGCCGCCTCTAGCTTGGACCTCGTATATTCTCCTCTCTTCAAACAAGATAGATTCTACCCCCATCACCCCCCGGGGTTATCCGTTACGCGTTTCGATTGGAAATTCATATGTGGTCGTGACCCTTCGTTCATTTTCCCCATGAGTTCATACCATCTCAGGCCAGCCGGTATCGACCCCCCCGCCATCCTCTGAAAAAGAGAATATTATGCGCTGCGCCACAATTCATAAGTTCGCAAGAGTCCCTTGCAAACAAATGGGACGAAGTGCGCACGCGCGCGTCGTCGCGCGCGCATGCCGCAATCCTTCCATACTCCTAGGTTTCGGACGGAGTCCCAAATCGAGTATCAAAAACACATGCTTTAAACAAAAAGCGCATGGTTTCGCAACACTTATTATTGCTTCAAAAAAATGGCTGCTCGCGCTCTTGCGAATTCTTGAAGAACGCCATCGGTTTTTCAACATTTTCATACAACGCTGCCAAACGAGTTTCGCGCGCGCATGTCGAAGTCGTGCGAACGCCCCTGCGCGCGTGCCGTCGCGAGAATCCTTTGTAACAAATGGGACGAAGTGCGCATGCGCGCGTTGTCGCGCGCGCATGCCGAAATCCTTCAAAAAATCCCGGTTCCGGAAGGATTTCAAAATCGAGTGTCCAAACATTGTCTTCTAATAAAGAACAGGGTTTCGCAACATGGATGTTCAACAAAAGTGTGCGCGCGTTCTTTCGACACCTTAAGAAAACCATGAGTTTTCCAACTTTTCATAACATGCTACCAAACGGCTTCGCGCGCGCACATTGAGATCGTTCGCGCGCCTGCCACGAGCGCATTTCGAATTCCTTCCAAAACCTGCATCCCCGACGCGAAGACGCCGTCATTGTCGTTGGCGTGATCAGCATCGGCGCCATCACTGGTTGCCCCGTCGTCGCTGTCAGCATTGTCGCCAGCATCGCTACTACCATTATCGTGTCTACCGTTGTCGACGTTGTCATGATACCGCGCCCGCCCAAGTCGCCGATTCGCACCGGAGTGCCAGCTGGGATGTGCCGAGCGATCAGCGCCGCCTCGTTCGCGTCGGTCGCGTCGACCTAGCTGGCCGCTGCGCGCGCGAGCATGCGCGGGCGAGCGCGGCCTCAGATATGCACCAGTCAACATCCAGCACTCATCGCAATCGCTTCCGCATGGGGTTTGCAAACCAAGGAGCGGGTGGGTGGGTGGGACGTTTGCGAAAACAGTGGAGTGGACAACGTCAGGTTGAACATTGGTGAATGAATTGCACCACGTAGCTTGCGCAACATAGCTGGCACCATACAGCTGTCAAGTCCACAATGTAACAACTTACTGTTTGAGATCATGCTGGCTGTCATATCTCCCCTGTTGCAGGTCGAGTCAGTAGGGTAGTTCGGGGGTGCTGAGCCGAACATTATTACATTCTTCCTGGTTGCGTGACTGAAGTGGGGTTCTGCGGTGCGGACTGTTGTCGTTGTTGCCTGCCTTGCCTTGGGGCCCACTCTCCCTCAGCCCTGCGACTCACCCGCGACCCGCGACCCGCGACCCACGCCCGCGACCCGCACCCGCGACCCGCACCCACGACCCATTCGCGATCCACCCGCAGCGTTTTGCTAAGACATCGTTGCCTGCAGCGGGTTGGCTTTGCCTAGGGAAAAGTGCTTGCGGCGGGCTACTTTATATTGGATTTAATGCGTCGCGACCATGCGGCAAGCTCATTATTGGAGGATACCAGCGTTTGCGGCGGCCGCCTGTGCATTCACGCTCGGGCCCCGAAACCCCGGCAAGGCAGCACTTGCGCAGCACGAGCGCAGTTGCGGGGCTTAGGTATTTTCCTCCTCTCCCATCATATCTTCCCTCGTCCCTTCTCCTTCGTTTCTCTTCCCTCCTTCGTCCTCCTCCTGCCCCTCCTCTTCGTGTGGACTGTGGCCCACTTTGGCGCAGGACGAAGATATGGTTCGTTTGGTGGAAGCTACTTTCGTACGTTTCATGCAGCCTCTGGCACGGATCACCGTCAACTCCAACCACGGTCATTTAGGGTTCCTGTTCGGTAGCAAATCATGGGACCCTTGCGTACCTTTTTAGTTCCGTCTTTAGCGTCAATTAGCGTCGATTCGCGTCTGGGAGTCGATGAGGTAGCGCCCATTTGGCGTCGGCAAGTGTCGATTACCGTCGATTTAACGTCGATTAGACGATTCAGCGTTGATTAGCGTCGATTCGCAAGAGTCAACAAGATGGCATGAGAGGCTCCCACGAGTTGCCACACAAGTCTGGCCCGCCCGCACGGGCCTTGCAGGCACCGCTCCCGAGCCGACACCAGCGCGCTCCAACTCTCGCTCCCTCTCTCCTCGTCTTCGCTTCCTCCGCGTACAGTTTGTCCTCCTTCATGTTTCCTTCCTCCTCTTGCTTCCCCCAGATGCTGCTGCTGCTCTTGCTTCCACTGATCACGCGGCTCCTGCTCCTCCTGCTGCTGCTGCTGCTGCTCTGTGGCCATTGTGGCTCGGCCGCGTCCGTGGCCCTTCTGGTCCCAACGGCGCGGAATGCACGGCTGTGCGAGGGCCTTCCAAAGGTGTTGGAATCCAGGTGCGAGAACACTGAGTTGGCGCCTGGTGCCTGCTGCACCAGCACGAGTGCCACGTTGCGCACTGAGTTGCCCCTGCAAACGCACAATCTGCGCTGCAACGTGGCGTTGCGTGCGGAAGCCAAAGGGGTTACCTGACCAGGGTCCCGAGGGGTCCTTCGGCTGGGCGCAGTGCTGAGAGCTAGGGGCAGCAAGGAAACCACAGCCCCCGCGTTCGTGTCCGAGGGCGCCTCTGTCACCACGGATACGGCGGGTCCACAGTTCGAGGTTGATGTCGATTGCTACAACGGCGCGACGCTTATTGAAGCAGATTGATTTGTGCATGCAGCGCTCTTGGGGGGTCCTCGAATTCCGTCCTGGCCTCTGCGTTCGCGAGCGTTGCTGGTTCGAACGCGCTCAGGGAGGCACCTATGAACTTGGACGCGCACGAGCCGCGCAGGTCACCGCATGCATGCGGTTCGGCGCTGCCCGACTGCCAAGGCACACCACCAGGTTCACGAGTTGGACGCGCAGCTGCCGGAGTGCACAGACAGCTCGACCGTGCGTAGGCCGAGCCTGTCCGCCCCCCAGAGCGATGCTCCAGAGCGCAGGCGTGGGGTCAGCTGCGCCCTTGGAGGATGGCCAGATGGCCAGTCCACGAGCAGCTCATGGAGGATGGCCAGACGGGCTGTCGCACGCGAGCTGCTCGGGCCCACCCCTCGTGAGGTAGGGCAGCTCGGGGCGAGCCGCGCGGGAAAGGGCTCCGTGTACTCCTCGGTGTCGGTGCCTGTCGCGGTGGCAGTCCAGACGGCCGCCGCACGAGAGCGGCTTGGGTCCACCCCTCGCAGGGCGGTTTTCGGCAAGCTGCGTGGGAAACTTGGGAAGGTCCCCGGGTGCTCGTCGATGTCGATGTTTGCTGCGGCGACAGTGGCGCTCGAGGCGAGCGTCGCAAGCAGGGCGAAAGGGCGGGGCTTCCTCCCGGGGGTAAAGTAGAGAGGGGCTGATGCACAAGAGCCCACGGGGGGAGGGTTTGCGTCAAAACGCAAAGGTGGGGGCGGGAAACAAAAACGCGGAATCGTTTCATAGTGATTGAATGATTTGCGATGCTAGGTTGATGATCAATCCCAGCATGTAGAGAAGGAAGGGGGACATGAGACGGAACGAGGATGGAGGCGCTTTGGAGACAGGGACGGGCGTGGACGTGGTAGCCAACCTCCCACGCGCACGTGGCCGTGGTTTGCCAGGCTCGTTGCGACATTTTTCAGGCTTTTGGGTGAATGCTAAAGGCCTGTCCAGGCCTATGCGGCAGCGTGGCTGGCTGCCCCGTCTTTAGCAGACTCGTTGTTTGGCGTGGCGTCGTTGTGTTATGATGTGTAGTTTCTGTTCTTGGCGTGTTTGTGCTGCACGGGGTCGTCGTGTTGCGTGGTGCTGTTTGGTTTCGTTGTTTCGTGGTTTGTTGAGTGGTGCAGCTTTGTCGTGCGGTGCTGTTTCGTTTTGCGTGGCAGCATATTGTTGATCGGTCTTCTTGTTATTCTGTGGATCGTTATGTTGTGTGGTGTCGTGTATTGTTCAGTCGCCGTGTGCTGTATTGTTTGTTGTGTGGTGCAGTTGTTTAGCATGGTGTCGGTTTGGTGCGCCGTGCTGTTTTTGCGTGTGACTAGGTTCCTGTGCGTTGTTTGAATATTCGCGCTCAGCCTGTCCAGCCGCTGCATTCCACTGCACGCCCTTTCCCGCTCTTCCTCTCCAACCTCCTTCACATCCCAGCCCACCCTCCTCGTGATATTCTTCCTGCTCCTGCCTATCCTCGCCCCTTCTCCCTTCTGCTCATTACCATCGTCGTCCTCCTCCTGCTCGCCCTCCTCGTGCGCTCGTCGCGCGGTGAATTCTGGACTCGCCGCGCATCCCCACCAGCCCGTCCAGAGCCGGTGCCCAGGGAAGTTACCCCAGGGGATGGAATCGTGGCAGGAGAACCCACCGTCAGAACGGTTTTGCTACCGTCAGAATGGCCCGGTCGATTGTCAGAACGGAGGGGGCTCCCGCCATAGACATTGCTACAACAACTGAGAACCATCAGGATGTACCTGTCGACCGTCATCATGCCCCATGGTACCGTCATAATGCCCCGAGGTACCGTCAGAATTCCTCGGGGAGCCGTCAGAGTGTGCCTGGGTTTGGGATACCCACTCGTCGGGAGGTCCACTGCGGCTTTTCCCGGCCGTCAGAATGCCCCGCTCGGGGGACTCTTCGCTGGAGTCCTGGGGTGGACGGATCCTCAGATTCCCCTCTCTTCCTGCCTCCTTGCATGCTCCTCCCTCCTCCCTCCCCGCTCCTCCCTCCTCCTTTCCCCCGTCCTTCCTTACTCCCCTGCACATCCCGCCTCTTGCTGCCGCTCTTCCTCCGCCTTGGCCGCCCGTTCCCCCTTTTCCACCTCGTCCTCTTCGCTTTTGGCGTCCCGCCTGGTAGAGTGGCGTTCGGTCCGGTTCGATTTTTCTTGGCCGACGCATGTCACCGACCTCCCAGGCGCGTGCTCGCTTGTCCCACCGATGAGCCGTTTGGGTAGGACGTTTTGCGTCCAGGGTGACGCTCGGGGGAGCGGGCGGGGGAACATGCGGAAAGGGGCGGACAGACATGCGATGGGGGGGGAGGCGGGGAGAGAGGGATCGGCAAAGGAAGGCATAGGGGGGAGGAGGAGGAGCAGGAGGAGGAGGAGGAGTCCCGATAACGTTGTTTTTCGATAGGCGCGTGAGGGGGAAGCGGGCCGCCTTTGACGAAACGAAAAGGACGGCCGCCCACCCGCGTCCTTTGCTTGAGTCCGCCCTTGCATGCAGGCGTCTGTCGGGGTGCCGCCATTGGGCGGTCGGTCTGCCTGTACACTCTTCTCGGTGCACGACAGATCTTCGTCGGGATGGTGCCTTGGTGTGCGCGTCGTGGCACTCGCCACCGGTTCCGGGGTCTCGCCTGCCACTTCCACCATGCAGCCGTTCGCTTATTCTCGATGATCCTGTTCCTGTATTGTGGCTCGTAGCCCGATCTGCTCAGGCCAGTGGTTGCGACGGCCCCTGGGGGCCAGTAGTTCATGCAGTTGAGGCGCTGGCTGCGCGCCAACCCTTCACGTTTTCGTTGTTGTTGTCGTTGTTGTTTTCGTTTTTGTTTTTGATTTTGTTGTTGTTGTTGTTGTTGTTGTTGTTGTTGTTGTTGAACATGTCCCCACCCCACCCCTCCTGCTCAGCCCCCGTCTGAAGGCACCAGACCTTCGGGTATCGAGAGCTTCGATCGGGCTGGCATCACGGCCAGTGGCAACTTCCATGCCGAATACAGTTTTGCCTTCGGTGATGATGGGCGGTTGGTGTCTGCCCGTTCGCCGTGCCCCTTACTGCACTAACTCGGGCTGAGGCTGCTATCCTCTTTCTCAATGCCTTCGCTTGCCGTCACACCAGCAGTCTTAGTCACAGTATGAGGCGAGCTCATCGCCCCCTCCCCCTGAGCGAACTTTCAGCTCCAGAGGGCTTTCCCTGAAAGAGTCGAGCATGACTTACGTAACCCTGGCCCGCGCGGGCCCCCTACAGCTATCCAAGCTGGGGACAAGATCTTGCCCTGAGACAGAACAGCCTGCCCACCCATTGGGGCCGCATGTTGCCCGCATATGGCAGGGGTTCCGGCGCTGCATCGAGAGGAAGTATGTGGTGCGTTGATCGTCGGTTGTCTTTGCTTCCCTCCATTCCAACGAACTGCGCTGATGGAGCAGCATGTGCAACGATCCCCGCGGTGTCAGAAGCCAACGCCCTGGTCGTCACGACACGAACCTGCCGTATGCCGTTTTTTGTTCCTTTGCACCGGCCTTGTGCTTCCAGGGCGAAGCCTGCCCTCAATCTTCCGGATCCTGTCCACGCGGCGCTTGCCGGCCCTGAGGCGGAGGCCGAGCTTCTTGCAGCAGCTCCTCCTGGCTGCCGCCGCGTCTCGCCGCCCGGTTTGGTGGCGTCCATGACGGACTGGGTCGTGAAGTTTTCCCGAGCCAACTCTTGCACGATCTCCTGGCTCAGCTACGCGGCGGCGACATCCGACTCCTACCCTCGCCGATCAACGATTCAGGCAATTCGATGGGCGGCGGGGGTAAGGGTCGGAATTCTTCGAACACTTGGCGAAATCCAAACCCTGCTCCCGTCTCCCATCGTTTGGGGGGAATCAATGGCTGGTGGGGATAGGGATCGGATGTCGCCATCCAGCTACGAGCCCGAGGCCGGCAGCTTCGTCTTGTCCGAGATCGTGGTGCCCTTCTCCACCACGAAGCCCTGGGCGAACTGGTCCCGAAGAAACGCAACAAACGGCATACGCGTGTAATGTTTGACGGTCCACGCAGATTTCTGGGTTATGTGCGGATTTCTCGGATCGCAGCTGGGCCCCCATGGCGGCGCCTGTGGCGCCGCCCTTGGCGCGGGGCCAGCGCCGATCCAAGAAACCCGCGCGGACCTCAGAGAAAGAGCAGGGGGAGGAGGCGGAGGAGGAGGAGGAGGGAGAGGTGGAGGAGGAAGAGGAGGGAGAGGGCTTGCCGGGCTTGCCGAGCCCGCAGGACCATCCCGGCGCCCGCACCGGGCAAGACGGCGGCGGCAGCCCGGCTTCGGTCCTCGCCTGCGTCAAGCGGAACGGTGTTTGCCTTTCGCTCGCCTTCTCGCTTCCCCCAGCCTGGCCGCTTCTCTGGTCGGCCCTCGCGGGAGAACCGTCCCCTGCGGAGGCTGACGGCTCCTGGCTCGGCTTCGTGAGGGCTGAGGGCAGGACAGGATGCCGCCCTCCAGTTGCTCGATGCTGCTGCGGTTGCTGCTGCAGCATGATGGTGATGATACAGCTGCTGCTGTCGACGACGACGAAGACGACGATGGATGATGAAGATGATGAGGACGGTTGCGGTGGTGGTAGTATCGACGACGACGATGAATATGACGACGGCGTCGGCGACGGCGGCGACGACGACGTCCGCGACGACAATGACAGCGACAACGACGACGACGGGGATTATGATGTTGATGATGCTGATGATGATGACGACGACGATGGTGATGACGTTGATGATGATGCTGATGATGATGATGATGATGATTACTACGAGGGCACTGGTGATGCCGACGGTGACGTTGACGACGATGATTGTGATGGCGGCGATGATGACGATACTGATGGTGCCGATAACGATAATGACGGTGCCGACGATGATAACAATGGTGATGTCACTGTTGCCACAGTTGGCGGTGATGATGACGATGCTGATGAGGTTGTTGATCGGGATAATGTTGGTGGTGGTAGTGGCGATCATGATCATGATGGTGATGATGAGGAAGGAAATGATGATATTGGTGATGCTGCTGATGCTGATGCTGTTGATGATGCTGATCATGCTACTGGTGATGATGCCGCTGATGATGGTGCTGATGCTGCTGTTGACGATGGTGATGATCATGTTGCTGATGCTGATGATGCTGAAGATGCTGCTGACGATTACGATGACGATGATGATGATGATGATGATGATGATGATGATGATGATGATGATGATGATAATGATGATGATGGTGATGATGATGATGACGATCATGCTGCTGATGCTGCTAAAGTAGTGATGATGATGCTGATGTTGTTGCAGATGATGGTGTTGATGATGATACTGATGATGATGCTGCTGTTGTCGATCATGATGATGATGATGATGATGATGATGATGATGATGATGATGATGATGATGATGATGATGATGATGCTGATGCTGATTCTGATGATGCTGATGTTGATTATGATGATGCTTATGCTGATGATAATGATGCTGATGCTGATGCTGATGAGGATGCTGATGGTAATACCGATGATGGTGAGGATGATGCCGATGAGATGATTATTATGATGATGTCGACGACTGCGCTGATGATGCTGATGACGACGATAATTACCTTGCTGGCATGACAATGTTGCAGATCATGGTGCTGATGCTTATGCGGAGTACGCTCATGCCGGTGCCGATGACGGCGATGAGGGGTAGGAGTGAGGAGGAGGGAAGACGAGGGAGGAGCAGGGGGAGGGGGAGGAGGGGGAGGAGGGGGAGGAGGAGGAGAAGGAGGAGAAGGAGGAGGAGGAGGAGGAGGAGGACCAGGAGCAGGAGCAGGAGGAGGAGGAGGAGGAGGAGGAGGGGCAGGATGGGGGGGGGGGGTGATAGGGGTATTTGGTGCCAGCCTTCCACCCACGGAGGAAACACAACCCGCTGCTCCTCCTGTTGCACCGCACTTCGCTGTCGGCGGAGGCGCCTGCCGCCCTGGGTGGCAGCGGTCAACGAGGGAACTTTGGATGAGGAGGGCGCGGACGAGGATGCTGTCTTGTCGTGTGGAATGTGAGCTCAGGTGGATTCACTGTACGACCGTACACTTAGGGTTTGGTCCATCGCCGAGTTTGGATGGGCTTTGTAGTAAGGATTCGGCGGTGCGAAGACACCTTCGGCGAATCACCGCCGCCCCCTGCCTGTTGGAAGCGCATATGTGGCCGAACGTTGCGGCCAGAACTCGGCCAATCTATCTGACTATGTGTTCCCCCAGCCGTAGTGGAAACCCCTCGGGGATCACGCGGCGTGGGGGGAATGACGAACAGGAGGAGAGGGAGGAAGAAGGACGATGATGATGATGATGATGATGATGAAGGTGATGCTGATGATGATGCTGATGATGATGATGCTGATGATGGTTATTATGATGATGCTGATGATGACGATGATGATGATGATGATGATGCTGATGATGATGATGATGATGATGATGATGATGATGATGAGGAGGAGGAGGAGGAGGAGGAGGAGGAGGAGGCCTCTTGTGCGCCTGTTGAGACACTCTTTTGGCCTCCTGGGAGCTTCCTGGGGCCTTTTGGATGCCTCTTGGGGGCTTACTTGCGCCTCTGGGGGGCCTTTAGAGGCTCCTTGGGAGGCTCTTTGGCCGTCTGAGGGCGTTGCTGGCCCGTCTGACGCGGTTGGAAGCCATCTTGGGGGGTCTCTCTGGGCCATCTTGGGCGTCTTGGAGGTTTCTCGGACCGTCTTAGGGGGCCTCGTGGGCCGTCATGGGCCCATCTTGGAAGCCTCTTCGGAGTTCAGGGGGCGATCTTGGGGGCCTCTTGGGCCGTGTTGGGCCGTCGGAAGGCCGAACAGAAGCACCAGTCAAATTCCTTAAACAACCTGTGGCAACTCCATGCTTGTGTCCTCTTGGAGGACTTCATTGGAGGCCTCTTGGGCTGTCTTGGAGGCGTCTTGAGGGTCTCTTGAGCCGTCTTGGGCCATCTTGAGGCCAGCCGCCTTGGGTGCATGGTTATCTCGGGCAGTCTCGGAGACATACTGCGGCCATCTTGGACTCTCTGAAGACCACTTTGGCCGTCTTGGACCCATCTTAGCCGTCTTGGAGGCCACCTTGGAGCCGTCTTGGAGGGACCACGCTCTGAGCATTTCCGTTGGCGCTGTGGGTCTTTGCGGGTGGCCGGCTGTGGGTCTTCGCGTGTGGCCGGCTGTGAGTTTTCAGTTATCCCAGCAAAGCAACCTCACAGCCATGTGTATGAGCATAGATGGAAGCATTCTTCTTTAGATTCATGTTCGGATTTGACTGGAAGCGAAACGCTGCGATCAATAGTGGACGTGTCTGCAAAGGAGGCACTACTATCAACGAGACAGCACATTCTTTTTGTGCTCATTCCAAACGAGACACTGGAGCTCCACAGGACAAGTCAGCTCAGCCTGCCTCAGCCTCAGCCTGCATCAGCCTCAGTCTCAGCCTCAGCCTGCGTCAGTCTCAGCCTGCTGCGCTCCCGCATACCCCTTCGGCCTCAGCCTGCCTCAGCCTCAGCCTGCATCAGCCTCAGCCTCAGCCTCAGCCTCAGCCTGCCTCAGCCTCAGCCTGCTGCGCTCCCGCATACTCCTGCGGCCTCAGCCTGCATCAGCCTCAGCCTGCATAAGCCTCAGCCTCAGCCTCAGCCTCAGCCTCAGCCTGCCTCAGCCTCAGCCGCACCTCCGATGGCGCCGAGGTGGCTCCCGTGCGTACCTGCACCCACGGAACTCACCTCCGATGGCGCCGAGGTGGCTCCCGTGCGTACCTGCACCCACGGAACTCACCTCCGATGGCGCCGAGGTGGCTCCCGTGCGTACCCGCGCGCACGAAACGCTTCTCCGATGGCGCCGAGGTGGTTCCCGTGCGTACCTGCACGCACGGAACGCACCTCCGATGGCGCCGAGGTGGCTCCCGTGCGTACCTGCACGCACGGAACGCACCTCCGATGGCGCCGAGGTGGCTCCCGTGCCTGCCTGCACGCACGGAACGCACCTCTGATGGCGCCGAGGTGGCTCCCGTGCCTGCCTGCACGCACGGAATGAGCTCCGCCGGATTCTCCCGGTTTCTGCCGGCTTCCGCCCGGACCCCCCTGGAGTGTCATGATGCTCTCTTTTGACCCTACTAGAAACCTATCAGCACAAGCTGTTAGGTAAAAAGAGCTATGCCAAGCATTCAGCACGCCGTGCACCTTTGTGGCAAGACCACAGGGGGCGGCGGTTATAGTGGATTTCGTCTCATCCCGCCACCATGCCTGGGTTGTCACTGAGAGGTCCTCTGGACGCTTGCGAGGATCTACTTGAAGACTTTCGCGGAAGCCTCTTGGATGACGTTTTTGGGGGGTTTTCAAGCGTCGATGGGGCCTCCTGCGGGCCTGTTGGGGCCTGATTCGGGGCTCTTGGGGCCTCTTGGGGGCCCCTTGGGGCCTCTTGGTGGCACCTCGGGTCGTGTGTCCCCCTCTTGGGTCCCTCTTGGGCCCCTCTTGGAGCTGTCTTGGGGGCCTCTTGGGCCCCTCTTGGGGCCTCTTTGGCGCTCTGGGGGCGGTCTTGGGCACTTCTTGGGCCGTCTTGGACGCTTTGAAGACCCAAACATGGTAATGCTAAATCCATGCAAGAACTCATGGGTTTGAGGGTTTGGGCATCTTTGGCCGCCCTCCAGGGAGACGGTCTTCGGGGCCATCGTCGGCCATGAATGGGGCATGCGTGGCTCGAACAGGCGCTCTTGGCCTCTGCAAAAGTCTCGCGGGGACCCCCCTGGAGCGCCCCAAATGGCCCTGCAGCGCCCAAACTTCCAGACTGTGGGCCCCTTGAAGAAACTTTGAACGAGGTTTAAGGAGAGGCTGTATGGTGAACGCTATATCCGACGCTGTCTTGGCTCAAGACTGCGCAGTCCGATTTGCTAGGTGTACGACCCTGTACGCCTGTATCAGCAGATCATAGTATCGCACAAAAAAGGCCACGTTCATCTATGGTCCCTTTCCCGATCCCATGGCTTCTCTTTTACCTCTCGTCTTGCTTGCCATCATTGGATGAGTTGTGGGATACTTCGATACGCCACCGACGTTATCCCAACAGTAGGGTTTTCAGCTTATTACCTCATGGTCAAGCCGTGTACCCTCACATGCCACTTGGTAGCGGAGCTGGCTATATCTTCATGTGGCTGGCTCTTACATCAGGTGCTCTGTACATAACAACTTACTACGGCACAGTGGAGTACCCGACTTCGACGGCTCTTTGCTACTGCGCCCCCCCTGCTGTCGAACCAATTGGTAGCCCGCAATCCTACATTTCCATATCCCCACCGCGTCGCCACATGCCACGCACGACCCAAACACCGATGCTTATCCGCAAGCTGGCGGCCACGTCGAACCAGACACCCAGTCGCAACCCTAGGGTCTCGACGATATCCAATGCCACTCGACCTAACACCTTCAGCTACAACATGACCATGCACTATGCTAGGGTAACGATATTTGGAACTATCTGGGTGTGCCTAGGCGTTGCCGTGGCATGCGCGCGCGAGGAGGATTGGATGAAACGTGCACTGGGGGTCTATTGTGGGGCCCCGCAGGTAGCGCACCCTCCCGCGATTGTGTTTGTGGAGTACGCGCGTGGCTTAACGTCGCGAGCGGAAGTATGGCTCCACCCCAACAGGCACGTGCTTTACAGCGAGGCCTAGGGGATTGGTTAGGACACTAACAATGAGGGTGCCGTCCACTATCGTCAATTACGGTGTCACGCTGCAGGGGAGACGCACCGATGAAGTCACAGCTAACCACGCCAGTAGTTCAACATAGATGGAAGAAAAACCCACGACCCAGGGCTCTAGGAGGAGGAGGACAGGAGAGCCGGTGGCAATACCAGATGAGGATGCTTTGCGACCGACTTGCTGGCCACCAGCCAGTCTTCTGCAACACAGAGGCTCTCGCCGCCCCCTCTCTTTTTTTCACTCCGCCGGCACGCGATACGTGCCAGGCGGGTGACCTTTGTTGCCGGCTGGCGCCGGCGCCCTCGCGCCCGGCGCCTGTGCGACACGGCGCGGCTGGCGCGCTCCCCGCGTGCGCGCGCTGCCGCCTGCTGCCGGCACCTCGCTCACAGAACGCCAGGCAAATATTAGCGCCGCGCACGTTGGCCTGTGGTTGTTGCCAACGGCGCGGCACGACTGCTGCCAGCGGCCGCACGCCTGGTTCGCCTCGCCGGCGCCTGGCCGCCATTCTGCGCCCCGCTGCCCGCGGGCGCACGTTGCCGTGGGTCTGCACCCCCACCAGACTGGGGGGTTGTCCTGGTCTCCCCAGCGCTCCTCGCGCCCAGGCCTTCGGCCGGCGCGAAGCTGCTTTCTGCCGCGTGGCGCCTGTCCGGCGCCAGCCACGCAGCGGCTGCGCGGGTGCTTTCTCCCGCGCAGCGGGTGTCCCATCTCCCGGCCCCCCATCCCCTGGTGGGATAAGGTCTGGCGCCTGACAAAGGCGGTTCCGGGGAACGCCGCCCGCCTCACCTGCCGGCGGCGCCTCGGTCGCGGGGCAGCAGCCCCCGCCGGACTGGGGAGTGCTGGCCCCACCCAACACTCTTCGCGCCGGCTCCTCAGCCGGCGCCAAGCGGCCCGCGGCCCTTGCCGTCGCGGCCGCATCCGGCACCTGACTTTGGGTGCTCTTTCCGGGGGTGGGCGGGCTCCCGCGTCACCTCGAACCCCCGGTGAAATCCCTGGCACAGGTGCACGTACCTGCCCTGCGCCACGCTGTAGCGCGCGGCCCCTTGGACTCCAGCGTCGCAGCGACCCTTCCTATGTCGTTTCGTTTTGCCAGCTCCTCCTTGCTTCTCTCCTGTCGGCTGCTCTTTTTCGCTGGGCTGGTGTCTGTAGCGCGCCACGCTCGCGAGCCACCCGATCAGCACCGCGGCTGTCAGCAGCCCCAGCAACGCCATCAGCGCTGCACCTGTTTGGATCGCCGGGACGAAGTGAAACCCACCCTCGGACAGCTGCAGCGACGCCACGCCCTGCTGCTCTCCTGGGAACGCGACGGCCCCTCCGGCTGTCTGCTCCGCCGCTGCTGCCAGGGTGGCCGCCGCCAGCGCTGTGGCGGCCTTCCCCTGGCTCTTAGCATTCGCCAGGCCCTCCGTCGGCCGGCTGGCTATCTCTTCTTGCTTCGCAGTCTGCATGGCCACCGCGTCCCGGTCGAGGGCGCTCACGGGCGGCTGCGTTAGCTCCGACGTGTCCTCGGCCATGCGCTTCGCCGGCGACAAGCTGGCCCAATTCCGGCGCAAAACGGTGCCAACCCCACATTGCATCGCGACATGTGCTCACCGGGCCATAACCATTGTCCGGTGCTAAGAACCTAAACGCACGCGACACGTGCACGTGTATCTAGCATACGTATACAGATTCTAAGACAGAGATGTAGTGAAACGCGAGAGCGTTATTGTAAGAGGGAGCCGTTCCCACTGTAATTTACACGATCCACCTTTGGAAGCCATACGCAGTCGAGGACGTGCGGAACACTGTAATTATGGTTCATGGTTACTTGATCTCTGTAGCTTCCCCGACTGCCGGTCTTTTGCCCTCTTCCTTCCGTCTTGTTTTGCCCTTCCATCCTCCATCTTCCGTCTCCTCTTCCTCTTCCCCGTCCTCTCTTCCCTCTCCCTTCTTGGCCCCCCTTGCCTGCCCCTTTCCCTCGCTGCCCTCCCTCTCCCTGCCCTTGCCCCTCCCGTCCCCTCTCTCACCTCCCTCCCCTCGCCTCTCTTTCAGTCCTCCAGTGCGCTGCCCTCTCTCCACTCCCCATGTCTTCCCAATGCCGATGGAGGATGTGGCCACTATTCTATTAGGGGCCTTGGGAGCGAGAGGAGGGAGGGCTCGACGAGAACTGGTCTCTGCGACTTGAAACGTAGCTTCGGAGAACAATTCCTTGAGGCACGTGTGGATTCCTTCGCTTTGCAGTGACGCCCAGCCGCTGCTGCTCTAGATCTCTCCCCCCCCCCGCGCTCCCCTCATCCTTCCCCCCGTCTCCCCCTTCCCCCTGCTCCCCCCCTGCGTGTCCGACTTCTCTCCCTCCTTTTCCTAGACGCCGTCTGCTCACTTGGAACGGATCCTAGCCAGGCCAACCCTGGGCCCAGGACCCCCGGTCTCCGCGGAGAAAGCGACGTGGGCGGATAGCTGGCTCCCTCCCACCTGCCTCTTTTGCTCTATGCGGCCCTCCGCGCCGCCCGGAGACGGAGTACGGGCCGGCGTTCGCCAGGCTAGCCAAGGCCCGCGCGCGCAGCATCAGCGGAGGGGGCCTTTGTCTTTACCGGTTGTAGGCGCTCCTCCTCCGCCTCCTCGTCCTCTTCAATCTCCATCTCCTCCGTTTCCTCCATCTCTTGCTCCCCCTGAGGCTTCTCCCCCATCTCCTCCTCCGCCTCCTCCTCCTCCGCCGGCCCTCCTGAACGGCCCCAGCCCGAGCCAGCGAATGTCACAGGGTAAGACAGGACCCGAGTGGGTTGAGTGCTACGCCCTGGTTCTCGTCAGATCTCCGCGCAAGAAGCCACTCCTCTGGACAACAACTGGCATCCGTGTCGGGCCGTTGGGCTGGGCAGGAGAGGTGGACTTTGACCGATGCCGACGTCCTTGCCAATGGCTCGACCCAACATCCTCTCAGGCCGTTTGACGGGTCATTGGTTGACGAGTTATGGGTTATGGATAAAAGCACTTCAGAATTGGTGTGGCAGCGGCAAGGAGGACGGCGTCGACCAAACTTCCCTGAAGCGTTTTCTTCGCTTGCTAGGTTTGCTCCCTGGTTGCCAGGCTTTCGAGGAGCTCATGGCCGCCATCGTTGTCGTCGACACCTGGCCCGAGACGATCTGTGTGGATTCTCAGCTTCTCAGACACCAGACGTGCCTGAGGTACGGAAACGCAGCGGAGTCCGCATTACACAGTCACTACAGTTGCAGCTGCAACGTGGGCTCCGACGCGCACTCGGCCAGTGAGGACTTCATTCCTTGTGGTTTGGCGGAGGCTCGCGGAGGGCTGATACCAATGGCGCGGGAAGGTCGAGGTCTAATGCGAGTAGTACGTCATTGGTCATGGCAACCTCTTGAGACTTGGCTCGGACCAGCACACCGTGCTGGTGTTTGCGGCGACGTCAGTGGCGGACCCTTAGCAGATCTCCCGATCTTCGACGAGTTGGAGCCGCAGTGGTGGTAACGTGTGTCAGCTTCCTATAGGTTCTCGCCGCTTTCGACTGTCCACTGCTAGGATCGTGTCAGACCGTCCATCGTTGCGAGCTCCTGGCGCTGGTGCAGACTGCGAAGCTGACTCGTGGCTCCACGGTCGGCTTCATGGACAATTCGGCTGTGCATTACGAGATGCAGCCAGCATGGGCCCGACGCCGACCTCTTGTGGCACCTCGGGCGCGTTTTCGCCTGGCGCTCGTGGGCAGAATTCAGTCTGGTTCCCGTCAACTCCCACTTGGACGCCGTGGAGGCGGAGGCGCTCGGGCTCCCGCTGGGGGCCACTCGTAGTAACGCTGCTGCAGACGTGATGGCGGGGCACGCGGCACTCGCGGCACAAGCACCAGCCGCGGTCGGCCGTGTGGAGCACATGGCGTAGTGGTGAGTTGGCGGCTGCTGCGCTCTACGCTGGATGCCATGGGAAGCCACCTCGCCGCCAGGTGTGCCAGGCGCCGCCAGAACCCCCTGCCGCGGCGGTGTCTGCCGCTGGGCAAAATCTGGCGGCCGACGGCTGGACGTGCCAGCGGTGCCGCAGCCCCTCGTCAGAGGCCCGGCGCACGGTCTGGCTTCGCACGCCCTGCGCCGAGCTGTGTCGTGCTGGCCAGGCGGGGACTTCCTGTTGCGAGTGAGTCGGTGGGGGCGGGCCCGCAGCGCAAGGCGGCGGTGGCCCGTCCCCGCTGCACGAGACGGCGTGCGGCTGGAACGGTGCCCACCGCGGCGTCTTTGCCGCCGCTTGCGGGCTCTGGCCGGGTCGTGGGCTGCGCGAGTTGTGCTCCGACGCCCCGACGGCCACGGGGCGGGAGTACCTCAGGCGGCCAGGCGCCTGGCGATGGTGGCAGCGGCCCAAAGAGGGATGCGGCGTCCGCCGCCCCGAGGCCCGCTTGGACGTGCAGCTCAGGGACGCCCTCCGACCAGGCTCGTCCTCGGACTCGCCTTGAGTCCGCCGTGAGCTGGGCGCGCAGTCCGTCGCGGGTGACCGCGGTCGTGCCGTCATGATCACTCGATTCCTCGATTCATCCTTCTCGTGACTGCTCGCTAGCGACTGTGCCATCCTCCCTCTTCGCTTTTGCCTCCTCCCTCCTCACTCCAACTCCTTTTCCCACTCTCTCCCCCTTCTCGTTGTCATCGCTCCTCGCTCCTGCACCAGCCCGCCCTCGTCGTCGTCGTCGTCGTCGTCGTCGTCAAAGGTGAGAGTGTTGAGGACATGTGTGATGTCATGTGTGAGATGACGAGGGGCATGAGGAGTACGATAATGAGGTAGGGGAGGACGATGATTATTTTTCTTCGATGTACGGTCGAATGACGACGACATGATGATATTCGGAGGTCGATCAGTTGTGAAGCGCGTCGCAGAGAGGATGTCTCTTGTTATAGACCCCGCACGGGGGCGACACTCGATGGGTTCTGCACAGGGGAGCGAACATGCCAGAGAGCGGTCGGATTACCGATGCAGAAAATATGTTGCTTCCTCATCTGCGGCGAAAATGGCCTCGTCAATATCAAGGGGATCAGGGGGGGAGGCTGCTGTGCGCAGACGCTGGTCTGGCTACAGGCGTCGGGGCAGGCGGAGTGCGGGGCGCAAGTCATGATTGCACGTGCTGGGGAAGGAGACGCGGAAGAGGGTCTGGATGGCCTTTAAGACGGAATCGATGTTTGAATCATCTCTCCACGTACGAAAGTTACAGGCCGCCGTCCAGTGTCTCCAGCCAGTGTCTAAAGGCCCGCATGATCAATTTCCTGCCCTCTCGGGAGCTCCTCTGGTGGGCTCCATCGGTTCCGCATCGTAGCAGTTCTCGATTCTCACGAAGTTGATTTGGTCTTCGAGGTCGCCCTGATACATGTCTGGTAGCATGTTCTCGTTGGGCGGGTTGGTTTTGTGCAAGTACTCGCCGATCTCGTTCTTCAGGGCTGCCTCGATGACGCACTTCGCGAGGCCCTCCAGGGTCGCGAGGCCTATGGTGGGCGCTAGGGAGCCGATGTTCTTCATCCTTTGTCTGTCCTCCGACGAGCCGTGGCGCAGCGAGTCAAAGGTCGCCTCGTGGGCGATGGTGATGATCCCGCTCTCCCAAGGAGGGTCGCCGCCGAATCGCAGTCGGCCACCGCCCAACTACATCACCTTGGGGTGCCTCGGCCTGGCGAACGCGAGCGGTCGTGGAGAGGGCGAGGCGGGCCGAGTTCGGCCTGGGCTCCACCTTGTGAGGGGTGGAGCCCTCTCTTCATTCTCTTCAAACACTCTTTTACACGCTCCGAGGGGGGGTGGCCGAGGCACCGCTCGACGAAGCCCCTCGCTCGCGTAGACGACGTGTGGGCCGCGCACCTCGAGCAACAGGCCGGTCCCGCTGCTCGGTACAGCGCTTGCGACCTGTCGAAATGTAGATGCCGCCAGAGGGGGCAACTCCTTCCAGAAGCTGACCGCCGAACTCGGTTGCCCCCTGGAGGTCCCATGCTACTGTTGCTGCCTCCGCCCTCTGGGGCCTGCTGTTGCTGCTGCACAGGCTGCTGCTCATCCTCACTCCTGGCCCCCTCTTCCCCGCTCGCGGCCGCGGCGGCAGCTCCTGCCACCAGCGCCGCGATGGCGAAACCTGGCCTCCCCGCATGTCCCTCCCATCCAGAGGTCGGCGTGCAAGCGCAGGCGGGGATCAGGGTCCCTCGGGAGGACCAGGCAACTCCAGGAAACAATCCAGAATCTGACACGATTGATGAGCCGTGTCGCGGGCGTGGCCTGGCAGCACATGCGTCGCACGACGCGAAACTCCTTTGTTTGCAGTCTGGCGCCGTGCATCTGATGGCGGCCAGGCCAGGTGGGTTGAACCCGTCCTCGGCCCTGGGCCAACAGTCTCCCTCCTGCGCCGCCGTCCCCACCCACCGACCCAAGCTCACCCCCCATTCATCAGCGGTAGTGGCAGCTTCAGCGAGCGCGGGCCAAAAAGGGTGACAGCTCGCACCGTCTTTTGCACGGGCATCTGCGCAACTGTTGTCTTGACGCCGCCAGAGAGTGATGATGCCGCTGTGCATATCATTCATGGAAGCGTGGCCGTGTCATTTTGGTTATCTGGATGTGCTCGCAGCCGACGTCGCCCGCGCGACGCCAGAAATAGCTACCAAATCTCACGGTATGGTCTGTTCCATCCTGTGCACCACTCCTCGCCAGCCTCCCAGCTGTCAACCAGGAGCTGCGAGTCATTGAAAAATGGACTGAGGGCACAGCATGTCGATATCACCCCTGTTCTACCGAAGTTGTGTAGTGTTTATTCTTATCAGTGTGTATGCAGATTAGCACAGATGTGAAGTATGCTTGCAGCGTTGCAATTCGATTGCCATGTACCATCGCCGTTTGATGTTCAGGGGCCCCTGAGTCATGTAAAAGGTTGCGTTGCGTTTCATACGGCCGATAATCAAGATTATCAATTCTTTACGAACAATCCCGAGTAGACTTCGTGTGCTACCATCGGTTGATATTGGTAGCGGAGACGGAGATCCACACTCCGGCTCCCCACCGCCGCCGCCATGCCAGCGGGCCCGCGCCCGCGGGGTCCGCCGAGGCCGCAGGCCACTCCGGCGTCACCGCCGCCCGCGAGGGCGCCTGGCGCCGCGGCCACAGCGGCCGCCGCTGCAGGAGCTGCCGCCGGCAGCGCGCCGACAGCGGAGACGTCCAGAGTCCCGCCATCGCCCGACAGCGCCGTGGAGGGTCATAACGCCGAGGGCGGGGACTGGAACGATTGGTGGCAGAGGGCGAGTTCCGCCTGGGACGGCGGGGGAAGAGGCCTTGACGCAGGCCTGTCAAAGACGGCGCCGACGTACGAGCTGCTCAAGACCGACGGCTACAGTGTCTTTCGCCGAAAGCTGGAGGTCTTCGAGCGCTGCTGCAGGAAGCACGGCACCACCGCGGTCAGCGAGGGCGCGTTCTTGATCATGAACTCGCTGCAGGGTGAAGCCGCGGAGGCTACGGAGGACATCGACCTGGATCAGCTGGAGTCCGAGGACGCCTCCTCCCGCTGTTCCAGGTCCTCGACGAGTACTACATGTACGATAACCAGACC